TACTAAACCCTTGCTTTTAGCTACCCTTCTGTGGCATCACTGGGTGGGTTCGAACCTCCAGCTTTGAGGTTAGTAGTTGAGTGCAAATGGTTGCACTGCCAGGGACCTTTGATGTTTCGCAAACCACACCAACTGCCATTGCACCCATTTTGACTCACAGCAACCCTGTGAAGGGAGCAGACAGCCTCAACTCTCTCCCCGGGAGTGGTTGGTTAGTTTGAACTGCTGACTTTGCAGTTAGCAACCAACAGTAGGGACTAGCTAGTTTCAGTTTGTGTAAAATCAATTCTAAAACAGCTAAGTAGTGTATCTTGGACTCCTTTCCATTTCTCTTTGCCTCCCTCTCAGGCTCTGCTGTCTCGCATAGCTTGCTATGAATTCAGGTCGAGTCCACGACAGTGGTTTTGTGTAATTCATTTATGCTCCCCGCTAGGTCTTACAGGCACTTGAGTTTTAATAACCTTTTAAAAACATTTTAAAAAACAGTACATTATATTCAAGCTGGACAAATCTAACCAGGGCAAAATTTAGCAATTGAACGAATAAAGTTTTCTGTGTAGGTTCTGCTTTAGTGTGATCCTTATTCTCTGCTGGTACTGCACAGTCCATTCGGAAGAGGCAGTACGTTAATGATTTAAAAGGCGGGGCGCCCTCGGGCTGCAGTGGTTAAGCGCTTGGCTGCTGAGAGGTTGCTGGTTAAAAACCTGTTTGTGGTCCTGTGACTTACGGCACCATCACTGCCCAAAAGGTGAAATGTAAGGAATTCTTAGCTCACAGGAGATTTGTCTGTTCTGATCAACCACTTGTCTGGGCACATTGAGAAAGCCAGGGGTGGGGGCGGGGGGAGTGGGGCGAGGGGCTGTATGTAGGCCAGTGGGTTGTGAAACTATGAGTTTATTTATTTTTCCCTTTTATTATGTTAGCTAGCAAGTCAAATCAGCAGAAATGATTTCCTTTTTCTTTTCTAAGTTAACCGAAGGTGAGGACATACATGTGTTACATGTATGTACAAGTTGTGAAACTATATAATAGGAATAGACCTAGTGTTTTTGGATGAGCAAATAGACCTTATGATTCTCCACCATGACTTACTCATGCCTTTCTCATTTTGGTTTTAAAGACTTCAACGATATTTAAAACCAGAGCATTAAACTGAATAAGTAAATAAACATAAGTTAAAAAAAAAAAAGTACCTAAAGCCACATGCTTGCAGTGCTATGTGAAAGGCATCGGGCTTCCTGCTTTAGCATCCTTTCCACCCCCCACCCCCCACTTGCTGATTGCTAAACTGGGAAGCCAGTGCTTGAGAAATGGTCTCCCCTCCCCCCTTCCCTCCTCTAGTTGAGTCCCGGTGTGATCTGACTGTGTAAGGAGAACAGGTTTTGGAGTCCGTGTGTCCCACTCGTCACCACCTCTCAGTCTCCCTTCTTGGGAGGCCTGCTTCAGGCTCATGGCTGTCAGCAGAAAGCAGGGCCTCACACCCACTCACTGCATCGAGCCAATGCCTATTCTAGAGCTCCCAAAGACAGGGTGGACCTGCCCTGCGGGCTTCTGAGACTGTAACTCTATGGGAGCGGAAAGCCTCCTCTTCCTGCCTCGCTACAAGTTAATAGTATCGTGTATATATATTTGATACCCCAAATCCACTGCTGTCGAGTTGATTCCATCTCACAGCAGCCCTATATAGGCCAGCGTAGAATAGTCCCACACGTTTCTAAAATGGTAAATCTTTACGATGCAGATCGCAGCCTCCTCTTTTTCTTGTCAAGTGGCTAGTGAGTTCAAACTGCCAACCATTTGGTTCACAACTGGGTGCTTTTTACCATTATGCCATCATGGCTCCCGAAATTACTCTTTATCCTTCAGGACGAGTAGTTTGTACAGGAGCGTGAGTCCAGGAAGCATCTGGAGGGGATTAAGAAGTGAGACAGGGAGCTTAAGGAAGTCAGTAAAACAAGCCAGGGCTGTGGGCAGTGTAATGCCAGTGGGAAATTTTGGGAGCCAGTGTTGATCGTGTGCTTCAGTTCCCTTCCCTGAGAGTAAAGGGTCTGGGCGCCGAGCCCTCAGTAGTCTGGGGTAGTGATCCTGATGTCTCTGCAGCCTGCTGCGCTGCAGGCACAGCACATGGTAGCAGGTGTTGACAGTTGGGAACCAGGCTGCCTTTGTGGGCAGGTTAGGTGGGTAGGGCTTGCTATACCCCTAGCGAGGTCCCTCTTGTGGTCCTCTTCATCTTAGTAAGCAGCTTTTTGGAGGCACAGGCCCCAAACCCTAGAGTCACCCTTGACCCCCCTCATGTGCAGTCCACCAGCAAATCTTGTCGATTCTCCCTGTAAGTAAATATTCAGAATCTGGGCTCTTCCTTTTTACCCTCACGGCCACCACTGTCCAGCCCCTTGAAGCCTCCCGGGGTAGCTGATTTCCCATCGTTTACTTGCAGCGCGGCAGCTGGAGTGGCCCTTGTGAAGCTGCCAGATTGCTCTGCTGAGCCCTCCAGTGGTCCCTCCTCCCTCTGAGGGAAAGCCAAGCTTACCAGTGGCCTCCACGGCCTCATGATCTGGCCTCCTCCGTTTCTGCCTGCTACTGAATTGTTGGTGCTTGTACACGTCTTTGGTTCTTAACGGAAGCGTCTTGTCAGTCTTTAGCTTTCTAACGAGTTAAAGTACTCCTCTATTTCCTATCCCCTTTGATGTGGGTTATGTGCTTCATTTGTAAGTTAGGGTCATCTGTCTAGTTTGCATTTCATCTTTCCCCTTACTTCCCGGGTGACTTAAAACCTTCACATGTAAGAATTTATCTTACGTGGTGTGCAACTCCAGCAGTTTTGGCCAGTGCGTGGGGTGATTGTATCCAATACCACAGCTCCTTACAGAACAGTTTTATCGCCTCCCCTTTTCACTGTCCTTGCGCAGTCTGTACGCTGAGCAAGTCATCTGAGGAGCTGGGCTGTGTGAAGGGGAAGGTGACAGCAGGACTGGAAGGAGGCCCATTGGCTCGGGATCTGCAGAAGACACAACCTTGCTTGCTGACAGTGAAGAGAACCCAAAGCACTCACTGAAGATCAAAGACTCAAGCTTTGAGGATTGATTACAGCTCACTATAAAACAAAAAACCTCACACTCGGATCAATACGGCGGCGGCATGGTAACCAAAAGATTGAAGCTGTCAAAGATTTCATTTTGGATTCACAATCAGTGGCGCATGGAACAACAGGCAAGAACTTAAACAATATGTGTTGCATTGGGCAAATGACCTCTCAAGTGTGACAGAGCAAAGATGTCACTTTGAGGGCCAACCCCAAGTACCTCCTAGGCCTGTGAAAGCTCAACAGTGGCTAAGGGAGACCAAAGAAGAATGGATACCTTTGAGCGATGGTCTTGACAAAGAATATGCCCTCTGCCACAGACTGCCGGGAGAATGAACTGCTCTGTCCCGAAAGAAGTTCAGCCCGAGTGCCTGGAAAGCCAGGAGGGCAGGACTCAGTGGGCTGCCTTCGGACGTGCTGCCAGGAGGGCTGGGCCTGGAGAAGGTCATCGTGGCCGAAAGGGAGAGGGCCAGCAGACAGGAGGAAGACCCTCCGTGAGATGGAAGCACGACGACAGTGGGCTCAAACAGGATTCTGGGGGGCCGTCGCTCCCGGCCCTGTTTGGTTCTGTTGGGCAGGGGGTTACTGTGAGTCAGAACCAAGTGAACGGGACCGATCAGCAACAACTCACCTTCCAGCCCTTGGAAACCGCCAGTCTGTTACTTTCCACTCTCATTTCTGTAGTGGTCGTTTCAACAGGATCTCAGGTCGTTTCCCGTCAGGTGTTTCAACAGGATCTCACCATATGTAGCCTTTGGGGTGTGGCCTCTTTCACTCTGCAAAATGTGCTTAAGATTCTTCATGCTGTGTGAATTTGTAGTTCATTCCTCGACTGTCCTTTAAAACAAATTCATTTAAGTAGAAATATTACTTCTAGCCGAGTGTAGGTGGTATCCAGATAGAACAGTCTTGAAAGTTACCTGAATGGCCCAGGTTAGGACTTGGTGGTGACGTGATAGAAAATGCCAAGTGACGGTTTTCATGTACTACTTGGCTGACACCTCTCAGCAATTAGCCATGATTCTTGAGGAAGTCACTTAACCTCTCTGACCCCCAGGTTCTGGTGAAGGAAACACTAAAACACCTGATCTGGTAGTCAGGGGCTCCTGTCACCCAAGGGAGCCTGTGGTTCCTAAGACACAGGGTATTGTAGGACCTAAGGGTAGCTTTTAACCTCAGTATCTCATTGGTGTGAAGCAGATCACCTCTGGATTTCACATTTTGGACAGATGATCGAAAGGCTTTAAAAGACCTACAGATAAGGAAAAACAGCCAGGCAGGTGGGCATAAGGGAAGCCTTCTTTGTAAGGCTTCTGTTTATTCCTCCCACCCCCACCCCCACTCCCACTCCCTTTTACCCCTCTCTGGTGAGCTTGTAAGAAGAGCCTAACTCTAAGCGCTGTAGGCGTGTTGAGAAGGTACGGGAGCACCCTGCATTCCACCAAGTTTACTAGCATCCTCTTGGTTACTGAGTTTAGAATTTAGACGTTAATATCCTTAGGTAGGTTTCCACAGGGGGATTGTTGGGGTTCATAGTGCCCTAGAACTTAATGGTGGTTCAGCAGACAGTCGTATAATATTAAATATTAAATTGTCTCATCAATGGCATCCAGCATTGGGAGACGTGCACATTTAGAATATGCCCCCAAGAACGGAAGCACAGGGAGTGAGGGAAAGGAAGCCCACCACACTTGCTGGTTTCGTTCTTATTTTCCAAGATGCACAGATTCATAGTGATTCCTTTTGAGATGTCTAGTGACTGCTTAAATTCAGGTAGCTTTTAAAATTGAAATGCAGTGGGTTGTGTTTAGAAGCCAACGTGTCCATCTAAAACCAGAGAGCTCAGAATTGCTATGCTTTATGCCTGGTTTATTCCCTGTGCGGCACGTGGTGACACGCTTTTACTTTTTACTTCTAGTAATGAATGTTATAACTATTGAAGATTATAAGAGCACATACTGGCCAAAATTGGATGGTGCCATAGACCAACTTTTAACCCAGAGTCCTGGTGACTATATCCCCATATCTTATGAACAGATATACAGGTAAGTCAAGTTAATTTACCTGGGTCTGAGAGGGGATGTTAAGGTTTTGGCAGCTTGGATTATGACAGTTTGTATGTGTGTAATGTGATCCATAAGGTATGTGCCACACTTGTGGATAGGCGAGTTGGTGTATATGTTTTGCTTTACAAGTGATTCATCAAGAGAGCATAAACGCTGCTTGTTTAGACGTAGACTTCCTGCCACCTCAGCCTCTCACCCTCCCCGTACTTCCTGAGACGCCATGGAGGTAAGTGATAAGGGCAAGACTGGTACGCAAACTGCTACCTTCCACTCATCTCCCCGGGACCCCAGCTCACTTGACACATCATTCTAATGGGCTCGAAGGTTTTGTCTCTTAGTTCCTGGGAAACGGAAGCAGTACCTTCGTGAGGATCTGGGGAGGGAGGGATAGGAGATTAGTGCAGTCACAGAAGGGCCAATGACAACGGTGTGTTCCAAATAATGGATGCACCAGGCGGTTGTATCGCAGGCATGTTTGCAGATTAGAAACGTGTCCTGTGCCACTCTGCCCTCAGCGAGGGAGCAAGGGAGGACCTGGATTCCCAGTAGCTGCCACCTTCAAACCCTGAGATTATCACCTGGTCCTGGAATTTGTTTGGGCTGATCGCATGTTTGAGATGCCTCAATGGGTGATTTGCAGCTGGGGGTAATAGCGCTTCCTCCTGGAAATGGTTTGGGGGAGGGCAGGGTTATATTTTTACACGGTGTGGTGGCCACTTTTTGGGCCTGCGTTTTCGTAGGCCGTTGAGGTGAAGTGTGCCCAGTAGCCTGAGATGAAGCGGCGCATGGTTAACTTCGTGTTTGTTTCTTCACAGTTGCGTGTATAAGTGTGTGTGCCAGCAGCACTCGGAGCAGATGTACAGTGATCTGATTAAAAAGATAACCAATCACTTAGAGAGAGTCTCAAAGGAGCTGCAGGTAAAGAGCTGACTATACGGGTTTCTTGTTTTTTTGCTTTCTTGGGTTTTTCTGACAGAACCACATGTGGAAGTTTGTTGATTTGAGGGTGTTATTAACTCATGGATATTTCCTAGATGCATGCTGACCAAATCTTGTGCTTGCTTAATATTTGGTATCGATCATTAACTTGAATGCTTGCCATAAATTGTAACACTTCTTAAATGGAGTGCGTTTTGGGGTACATTTGGCCTTTTGGGGATCCATCATCTCCCTCTCACTGCCTCTGGAGCAGTCAGGTTCTGGGCCCTATGGTCAGAGGCTGACCTTGTGGCTGGCCTGGTCACATGTGCATTCTCGAGAAGTTGCTCAGCAGTAGGTGGCCAGGGCTGACACCACAGTTGGGAAGGGCCCCAGCGCTTCTGAAGTAGCCACAGTTACTACTAGCAAGTGACAAGGAGCGTTCTGAGCATGGACGTGAACCCACACTAAACTGGTAGTCTGAGGCTTGACAGCTCTTTTCTTTTAAAACTTCTCTCCAGAGTGATGTTTTATCATAGCCCAACAATATATGTTTTCCTTGTATAGTATACTTTTCATCATAGACAACAGATATTTCATGGCACAGTGGTTACACACTGGGCTGCGATTTGCAAGCCAGCAGTTCGCAACTACCAACCACTCAGGAGAAAGACTGGTCTCTCTACTTTTGTAAAGAGAACTCACAGGGGCAGTTCTACTCTATTCTATAAGGGTGCTGTGAGTCGGCAACCACTTGAGTCGTTGAGACATTGTGTGTGAATTTAAAGGAATCTATAGCTTTGAATAACTTGCTTTGTGATTCTTGACTCCACATTTGTCTCACTATTCTCAAATCTAATTTATTTCCAAATCCTACTGTTAATCACTTCCTGAGATACTTAACTGCCACTTCCAAAATCCAGGGGCCGATATCTCTCAAGTCTTGTAATGAAACGCTCATCTCAAGAGACGGCACCGGCTGTCTTTCTCACGGCCATTGAGCCAATTCCCACTCAGCAACCTGATTGGTGAGGGTAGAACAGCCCCTGTGGATTTCTAAGACTCTTTATGGGACTAAAAAGCTTCATCTTCTGAGAACAGGCTGGTGGTTTCAAACTGCTGATCTTGCAATTAGTAGCCCAACTCATAACCACTACACCACCAGGGCTCCAAGGCTATAGCCATTAGTAAATAGCAGGGTGGAATGATCAAAGCCAGACTGAACAGTTTTGTGAGCTCTGGGCTCTGCTCTTGGTTAGATATGATAATGACATCTTGTAAATTTTCTGCACATCAAAATGAAGTGGAATTGCAAAAATGTGTGTGATTCCTTTAAGCTGAGTTCTGTGGGTTTTTAAAAAATCTTTCTGCTTGTCAATTCTGCCTTCATTCTGCTGAGACTCAAACTCGGTTGTGTCCACCTGTGTCACGTGTGAGCCTTTCTGAAGCCCCTGCCCCCACAATAGAACGGACGACTGTGTGCCTGCGGCATCTTGCTTCCTGGCACGCACATCTCAGTTTGAACCCTGGTTGTGTTGGATCGTTTCTGCTTCGGAGTCTGGCTGCTCACAGACCCTCCCCTGTCTCGATGGGATTGGGGTCCTCGGTGTCCGGCACAGTTAGAGTCCAGCAGGTGTTTGTTGAGTGACTGCTCGGCAACCCCATGTGGCCTGTAGACATAAGAGTAGCATCATCTGCAGGAAGACCACAAATCTTTGTCTTTGAGAAGCTTAAAGACCGAACCCAGTTGAAGTTGAGTTGATTCTGGTTCATGGTGGTTCTGTGTGGGTCAGAGTAGAACTGCGCCAAAGGGTTTTCGTGGACTGATTTTTCAGAACTAAATTGCCAGTCCTTTCTTCCGAGGTGCCTCTAGGTGGTCATAAACCTTCAACTCTACCATTGCAGCCTATCAGTTTCACCATTTGCACCACCCAGGGGCTACTGGGGGCAATAGGCAATTTATTTATTTACTCAATGCTAGAAGAATGTGGCCTGGTCCCATCCCTACTGTAGTGAGACTTTCAGGCTATTTTGGGGAGGACAGGAAACAAGAATGCCCTCTTTTTTATTTTCGCCTTAGAAATCTCCTCTGCCTTATAGGGCCGCTGTGAGTTAGAATGAATTCAGTGCCAGTGAGTTTCAGTTGGTTTGCTTTATAAAAAGATTGAGGTTCAACCATTTACAATGCTCTTTCCAGTTTTCTGAAAACAGTATACTCTAGCTTTTCAAGCAATAAAACAAAGCTAACTGGAACTCCTGCTCCTCCTTTCACCTCCTCTTGGTCTCCCAGCAGGGTGTCCCTGGGACATGTCAGTGATGAAGCTGGTAGCTGTTTTCCGTTCCCCCGGCAAAGGCCGATGCCCTGGAGCCCAGCTCAGTGATTCATCGAGTCCAGCAGGAAGCTTCCCACCCACCACGCAGCACACACACTTCATCACCCACTGGGTTAGGCTCATAATAACAGTCGACTGCAAGCAGAATCCTCCACCTAAACAAGCCCCTCCTCAAGAGAATGATGGGTAGGTTTGAACTGCTGACCTTGTGGTTAATAGGCCAACTCGTAAGCCACCTTGCTACTAGGGTTTCCTAAGTCTTTTTATAGGATCGCATACTTTAACTTGCATCTTCACCCAAGTCACTTTCGCCTAACGACTTAAGATTTCCCACGACTCCTTCGCGGGTGAGAAGCAAGGTCAGTGGACTATAAAATGCCGCTGCTTCTGTTCCCTGCTGCCCTATTGCTGTCGCCCTTTCCATGTTATTGCTGGCTCTTGCCTGGGCTCGGTCAGTTGCGATGAATTGAACTCTTTTGCAAGGCTTTGGGCCTCATTCTCTCGGAAAATGGGTAGAGAGACTTTGCTCCTAAGCCCTGTGTACACCTTTGTCTGAGTTTTCCACCCCAGAGGCTTTGCCTCTGTGGTTCTGACTGATTGGCATTGCCTGGGTAAGCTGTAGAAAAACTTGTGAGTTGATGATTTTTGTCTGACCCTGGCCTGGGCTGCTGCAGCCTGCCCTGTATTAATCTGTTTTACAAATCTTACAGGGATTGGTCAATATACAAATGAAGCGACTGCAGCCTAACATTACAAATGAAGTGATATTGATGGAGAGTCCAGGATTGAAATTGATAAGGCGTTTGCTTATATACACAGCAACCCCCCTGGATAGACAGGAGAGGGAGAGAGAAGCAGAGAGCGCGGAGACAGGGAACCTCCTTAAGGAAACACAACACAGGTCAAGGGCTGTAACACGGAGGACAGGGAGGGAGGGGCCTGGAAGGTGCCCTCCTGCAGAGGTGGTGGTGATGGGCGGGAGGCTGAAGGCAGGGGCTGTCCTCAGGGGCGCTGACAGGAGGCCTCCACGCCTGAGATGGGCATCCTGGCTTGCTTGCATGGCTGGGAGGAGCTGAGAAGTCTGTGCTCACTGAGGAAGGGAAGGATGAGCTCTCCCTGGGGGGAGCCTTCCAGACTGCTTGCTTGCTGACCCTGGTCCTGAGCCTCAGCTTGCTGCCTCCGTAGTAAACGACCTAACAGTAAGGAATGTCTGTGAGTTCTTGGTGGCCATTGCAGTGGATAACTGAACCCAGAAGAGAAGTAGGGAGTTGGGGGGCAGCGGCAGAGCTGTTGTCAGGATTGGTGAAAAGATTGGATAGTGGAATTTGGCTGATCTTGATTCTCATCATCCTCCTTGAAGCTTGAAAAATCCTGATGCTACCCTTTTACAGGAGTTTTGTCCTAACTGGTTTGCCTTCTATAATCTCTTCTCTTTTATTCAATTAATCTTATAAAAACCCTAATTTGATGGGCATCATCTTTGCTCAAAACCCTATAAAAGACTTCCTGTTGCTTTTCTCCATCAATCACAGATGATTTTTGACCAGGATAAAAACCCAAGTTGGTTGGTTAGTTGCTGGAATTCCTAAAAGGAAGCCTGATAAAGCTGGCACTTTCCTATCCAAAAAGGAGCTCAGTGACATTGTTGGGTAAGCATCGGACTGCTAACTGCAAGATTAGTGGTTCAAATCCACCCGCTGCTCCTTGGGAGAAGTTGAGGCTCCTGTAAAGATGACACTCTTGGAAACCCTATATAGGGTCTCTCTGAGTTGGAATTGACTCAGTGACAATCCACATATGCAAAGTTCTCTACTTGGTGTAGTAGTGAATGTGTGATTGATAAGAGTAGATGGTTTGAATAAAAAGTTAGACCAGCGAGCTGGGGGGGAAAATGAAGGTGAAAGGGCCAAGATGTAAAAAAAGAAACCCATTTGAGCTGCTTATCTCCCCGGGGCATAAATGACTTTGCACATGTGGGATGCTTGTGGCCCACCATGGGGATTGGAGAGCTTGCTAATAATGTAAATCAGGTGCATAGCTCCCTGTGGTGGCGAGACCATGCATATAAGGTGTATGGAACCCCTTAGATGGCGATTGGTCAGTTTGGGGTCTCATTTCCATCAAGAAAAAAAGAGTTGGTAGTAGAGCATGTCATTTGGATCCTGAGTTGAACCTCCTTCATCCAGGAAACAGGAGAGCTGTAACAGACAAAGCAAGAGAGGGCAAGAAGCAGCAGAAAAACAGGCAGTCGACTCAGGAAAGTGGCAGAAACCGCCTAGTTGGCTTCCTGGCTCGTGGAGTAAGAAAGTTGAGTACTTTGGGGCAGGAGCTCTGTCTGTTGGTAGATGGTATACCTTTAGGCACTAATTGTGTGAGCTAGGCTTACTGACCCTGCCCTTGGGCTGGAGGATTGCTGGTGGGGTGCCCAGTGAACTTATTGGCAGAGCTGAAAAAGAGTTTGGAAACACTTGCCTGAGGAGGTTGGGGGGGGGGGGGGGGAGGCAGGCCACAGGCCCAAACCTAGAAAGAGGCATGCTTGTGGACGCAATTCAGAGAAGACTGAATTGATCAAAGAACTGTATCTTGAATGTTTCTGATTCTGAATTGTAACCTGTTACTTCCTTAATAAATCCCATAATCATAAGTATTGTGAATTCTGTGTGGCCA